CTATTCATTTACGAATAGGCACAAACGAGAAATTTGTGGCAATATTATATAATTTTTCTTTTTCTGATCATGACAAAAAATTATTAAAAATCATTTCTAATATGTGGGGACTTATGCCGAAATAATTTATTATTAACTTTCATTAAATACATGAATTACTTATATTTATAAAATTAAAAATACGCTAAATGCAAGTAAGTATAAGTATTTCGAAAATTGCGCAGGCGATGAAATACACTTTCTAAAAATTTTTACATACGACGGTACCTTGTGACATTCATGCCACTCTTGAAAATGGCTTTTAATAATATTTTCTACTCGTGTATGAAACGGCATAAACGAGAAAATTGTGGCAATTTTCTATTATTTTTCTACTTTGTCGACCTGACTCGCATTAAAATTCAAAATAATGTACAACATGAAAATCCAATGTGGACTTATGCCTACATTTATATGACTTTATAATGTAGTTTCCTACGTGCATGCAAAATGGCATAAGCGAGAAAGACGTAAAAATTTTCATGAATTTTCCTACAACTTTTCAACAATTTTTTAGCATATAGTCCTCCCTCACCATGGACTTATACCCTTTAAAAAAATGAATACTTTCACTTTTTTCTTTGCAATAAGCTTTAATTTATTCACGAGAAAAACGTCGACCAAAACGAAAAATTTTCCGCAACTTTTCCAAAGCCCTATTTTCTTTAGTCCTTAGTAGGACNCAAACTCCGCGTCAGCGGAGTTTGCCTGCCTTTCTAGTTAGATAATTTTAAAATTCTATAATTCTGATAATGTATCATATAAAAAGCTGGAAATTATTATTAAAGTAAGTTAGTCTTTTTGGAGCCGAAGGCTATGCTTCAATTGTAACAGTTGTGCCGTAGTGAATAAAGTTGTAAAAAGTAAATTGTGCTTTTTAAAAACTAAGTTTCACGAACAACAAACTTAACTAGCGTTTGAAATGATGGCTGTTTAGTTTCAATATTATGAAAATGCTGTTATTGCATCAAGGGATATGCCGTAAGATATCCGGAGAGACATCATTATTCCAGACGAGTGTTTCGAAGATTGGCAGACCGTTTTCAAGAGACTGGTCAAGTTCAGCCTCCACGGCTACCAAATAGACTACGACCTATTACTAATTACTGAATCTGAAGTAAGCATTATAAATGTTTTGGCTTACATTCAGGCAAATCCACATCGAAGTATTAAGTAGAGACATTTTGAGGGATTTAGGACTAACTCTTTATTGTGTCTAAAATATTTGAAAAAACATAAAATGCACCTTTACCTTATTGTGTTAGGTACATCAAGAATTTTGCCATTGGCTTAAAGGTTTCCCCACCGAAGATGCTAAGTTTTTGTCAAAAATCTTATGGACAGACGAAACAACTTTTACAAGCAACGGGAAAGTAAATTAACACAACATGCATTATTGGTCGGCAACTAACCCTCATTGGTTAAGAGAGGTGGATCACAAGAACAGGTGGAGTGGAATGTGTGGTGCGGTATTTTAAATAGACAAATTATTTGGCCATTTTTTTCGATGGTCATTTTAACGGTGAAAGATACCTAAATTTCCTGAACACCGATTTGCCGATTTTAGATGTATCAATTGCTGAGAGGATGAACAAGTGGTACCAACAAGACGGATGTCCAGCTCATTTTGCCCAGAACGTCCGAAATAGCTTCCCAGATAAATGGATTGGCAGGAGAAGTCTTTTTTCGTGGTCTCCAAGGTCCCCAGACCTCACTTGTTTAGATTTTTATCTATGGGGCACAATAAAAGGCTTGGTTTTCAAAAATAGCCCCACAACACCGGAAGATATGAAACAAAGAATTCGTGTGGCTAGGTATAAGGAATTTATCATCTGCCGAAATTGAAGCTGCGGTACAACTACGAGAGAAAGACTTAATTTGTGCATCGACAATGATGGTAAACATTTTGATCATATTTAATTTTTGCCTTTTTGTCTTCATAGACTCTGACGAATTTGTTGTAGTTATTGTTATTCCTTATAGACCGGGAGATATTAGACTGAGGTTCGACGACGTCTTTCTCGTTTATGTCTCTGAGAGTACTGAAAGGTAACCGAGAGACAAGTAAAATAAATTTAAAAGATGGGCTGCGGGACACCTTTGTGAAAATTCAATTTTCCTTTTCAAAAAAATAATGTGTACAGCGACGTATTTCTCACTTATACCATGTTCGTCAGTTGAAGAGAAGTATCGATTTTATCACAAAATTTTTTTGGCATAAGTGTCGCAAGGGACCTAAATATGGAAAACTTTGTAAGAAAATGTGAAAAACATCTTTATTTGTCTACCAATTTCTCATTAATGCCAATTAGAAATTATTATATTCAAAAAGCTCATAAAAACATTGGCATAAGTCCTACTAAGGACTAAAGAAAATTGTTTATTATTCGGGTTCCTTATCTTTTAAATTAACTTCTTGTTACTTGAAATAACAACTTTATTTCTATTTTTATGAATGACAATTTTTATATTAAGCACAACTGTCAATACTGTCAAACAAATTACAATTGTTCTCTCCTTTTTAGATCAGGGCAAAACTGACCAGAGCGCAGAGAAATTTTAAATTTAAATAAGTACCCAACATGCCCCCCTTGAAAGGAGAATCAATCATTTCAACTAATAACTAGTTTGCAACTAACTACAATGGTTTATTATGACCACAGTTGACTGTGAAGTAGACATTCGCCTTGCTATCACTTAATCACTCGGTATAATGACCCTAAGCACTCCCGCACATTTCACTTGCTCGATTTTCTTCTGAGACGTCAGGTAGGGGACACACCTTTGTTGCAGCTCGTTTCGTAGGACCATTGGCAGTTTGGATGGTGATAACTCTGGCGATTCCGTCTGTTCCGGGATGAAGTTCTTTAACCCGACCAAGCCTCCAGCGTAACGGTGGCAGATTTTCATCTCTTAGGAGCACTAAGTCTCCAACATTCACAAACCGTGGACCACGATGGTTTTTCTGTCGTTGATGTAATTCTGAGAGGTATTCCTTTTTCCATCTGCTCCAAAAGTGCTAGACAGTCTGTTGGATGCGCTGGTATCTTACCAGCCTATTGGTGGGGACATTTTCCAGTTCCCAATCTGGTAATGACGTTAATGGGCGGCCAATTAAAAAATGCGCCGTGGTGAGAGGAGTGAGGTCGTCAGGACTGGCACTAATAGGGGATAACGGCCTTGAATTTAAAATGGATTCAACTTGTACTAAAACGGTGTACATTTCCTCGAAGGTCATGTGCGCGTTTCCCGCTACCCTTTTCAAATGAAACTTGGTGGATCTCACCGCCGCCTCCCATAAGCCACCGAAGTGAGGTGAATACGGGGGGATAAAGTGCCAATTAACATCTTCGTTTGCAAGAATTTCAGATAGGCTATCTGAATTTTGTTTTAACATGTTCCACAATTCTTTTAAGTCAGAGTTGGCTCCAACAAAATTCTTTCCGTTATCCAAGTACATATGCGCAGGCTTGCCACGACGACCTATGAACCTACGCATAGCCATTATAAATGCCCCGGTGGACAGTTTTGTTACAAGTTCTATATGTATACATTTGGTGGAAAGACAAATGAATATACATACATAACATTTTGATAATTTGCTTCCTCTGCCCTTTCTATTTGCTAACCACAGAGGACCGGCATAATCGACACCAGTGTAATAAAAGGGAGAAGGCGTTACCCGTTGAATCGGTAAATTTCCCATAGGGGGCGCAAAAGGCTTTGGATTTACTCTGACACATTTGACACATTCGTGGACAGTATCGTTCACGTATTGAAGACAATAATTGCTGCGGTCCAGCGTGCAATAATTTCCCATGTTCATAGCGAAACAACAGTTTGATCAAGTAATGATCAGCCGACAATATTAAGGGGTTTATTTTATCAAAAGGATAATTTGAATTGGTCAATCTACCTTTAACTCTTAAGGTTCTATCAGTGTGCAAAAAAGGTGTAAGTTTTAATAATTTACTACGTTGCTTTATTGTACCTTGAGCATCTAAAGAATTAATATCTTCCCGGAATGATTCAAGCTGAGCTCTTTTTACTAATATTAAAACCGAAGCATTGAGTTCCTTTGTAGTCAAAGAACCGTATGTGCGATCATGCGGCTTTAAGTTTGCAGTTATTACAAAATCTCAAACAATATGCAATCATTCGCCGTAGTTTATTCCAACATGAATAATTTTGAAAAGAAAACGGTTCTTCACCTTTGCGCGTAATAAGGCACTGTTTAATGACCTTCAAATCTAGCAGATCACTATCGTTTTGTAAACACCTTTCATTAGATACAGTCTTTATCATAATTTTCCTCCTGGAGCCACTCAGGCCCTTGCCACCACAATGAGGATTTTTTTTAAATTGGAGGGACTGGTACCTCTGGACAGTAAATCTGCAGGAATGTTAGAACCGGAAATGTGCCGCCATGAATACGGATGTGTATTAATTTGTATCTCTGAAACACGGTTGCACACAAAGGTTTTGAGCTTAGAAGGTTCCATTTTAAGCCAAGCGAGGACGATAGTTTAGTCTGACCAAAATTGACAACGATCGAATCTTACATTTAAAGACTGGACAACCCTTTGATATAACCTTGACAATATTAGTGCCCCACATAATTCAAGTCTGGAAATTGTGGTTGGTTTCACAGGGCTGACCTTTGCCTTTACATAAAATAAACGAACATACACATTGCCATAACCATCTACTGAGCGTGAATAAATACATCCCCCATAAGCTCGTTCACTGGCATCTGAAAACCCATGCAATTAAATTCTAATGGGATTTCTGCAAATGACGTGACGATCTATGTTCAATTCATTTAAAGTGTGTAACTCTGATCGAAAATCAAACCATTTTGTATGTAATTGTAACGGAATAGCTTCGCCCAAAGAAAGTTTCAGAAGCCATAGCTCTTGTATGATCATTTTTGTGACTACAACACAAGGACTAGGAAGACTCAAAGGATAAAAAATTCTAGAGATTTCTGATAACATAGTACGTTTACTTACTCGAGATATTTTAGCAACATTGATGTCATAAGACAATTGGTCAGATTGAGGCCACCAAATTAGACTAAGTGTTTAAGACTTTTCTTCCTGTTCTTTTCCAAATCCCTTTGAACTTGATGACTATCGAGACTTATCTATTCCTTCAAGAACCTTTTCAGAGTTAGAAATCCACTTCCTTAGGAAAAACTGTCCCCGTTCCAAAATATTCAGAAGACCCACACAATTTTGCTGTAGCGATTTTAAAGAATCCGACCCTGTGATTACATCATCAACATACATATCATGTCTGATGATGTTTACTACCTCAGGACACTCATTCTCGTACAACTTTGCCAATTCGAACAGACACCGAATTGCCAGAAAAGGTGCACTAGCTGTGCCATAAGTCACTATATTTAACGCTCTCTTTCTTCTACAAGTACCTGCCTGTACATTTTTTCAATATCTGCACACGCTACATATGTATGCTGCCTAAAACGGAGTATGATTGTTATCAAGTCAGACTGAATTGCAGGACCCACCATTTGAAGATCATTAAAAGAGTAGCCAGTTGTAATAGACGATGATGCATTGTATACCACCCGCAATTTAGTGGTTTCACTACCCTCTCGCAGAACATCATGATGAGGTAAATAGTATGCACATTCAACCTGATCTTTGTCATTCACCTTAGTCATGTGACCCATTCTTTCATGTTCCTCCATAAACTCTACATACATATTCTTGAATTCAATATTATTCGCAAATTTGCGCTCTAACTACTGAAACTGTCGAAAAGCTCGACTTTTAGACTCCCCTAACAGAGTCACACAACCCTTTAATGGAATAGACACCACAAAACGTCCATCTTCATCTTGTCTGGCTGTTTTTGTGAAGTGAACCTCATACATTTGCTCTTCTATCGAGAATTTTCGAATTTCTGAGAATTCATTTTCTATCTCCCATAGCTTACAAACCTGCCTTTGTAAGTCATTCTCAACGGATAAGTTGCAATGAGTAATTTTTTCCTGCCCACCGACACCTAAGGGCTCTGAAACTATCCATCCAAATTTTGTTTTTTGGAGGACAGGTTTGTTCGATCCTAGATTTATTTGAGCAGCACACAATAGGTTCCAGAATATATCAGCACCTATTAGCATATCTACTCGAGACGCTTTGTTGAATTGAGGATCAGCTAACCTAAGATGTTGAGGAATTTCCACCTGCGACAGATTGAATGAAAACTCAGGAAGTTGGTTTGTTATCTCAGCAATCACAAGACACGATATTGAAATACTAAAATTATTGTGACGAGAACGTACAGTGACCTGAGATTTCGATTCTATTTTTGTTGCTGTACAACTTAAACCTACCATTTTTATTTCAACTGGAGTTTTCGGTAAACACAACTGTTTCACTAAATTTGATGTCACGTAAGACGACTGTGACCCACAATCTAACACAACTCTTATTAGTCGTGGCTTGCCAATCTTGTCTAAAATCTCGATACTTACTGTAGACAACGACACCATATTTGAAGAAAAGGATGATAAAGTAACAACTGAATCAGAACCTTTCGAAGTTTCCTTTTCCTCTGTAACCTCATGATGAAGTAATGTATTGTGCTTACTGTTGCATTTGTTGCACAAAGCCCTTGTCGTGTGAAAAAATGACCAGATTTGAGGCAATTTAAGCAAAGTTTTAATTCCCTGACACGATTGTACCTGCTATCGGTAGACAATTTTTGAAATTCTGCACAATTATTAAGAGAATGTGCTGCCTTACAATGAACACAATTTTTTAAATTATCGTTTTCTTTCTCACTGGACCCCAGCAGGCAACGTGACGATTGAATTTGCCCCTTTAATTCCTTCCATTTTTGAGTTCCAAACTTTCTAGAAAATCTGCCCTCGTTTTTAGGAAATTTTATAAAATCTTCCAATGTGGGAGGATCACTACCCACCTAATGCTCTTCCCACTTTCTGTTAGTAGCATTATTTAATTTAAGACTAGCCATATGGATTATTAACGTATCTCACTCTTTAGTATTTTGCCCTAGTGAATCTAAAGCACTCAAATGTTTAACAATATTATTTGATAAAGCACGCAGCTTAATAGAAGATTCATGTGACAATTTTTCCAAATTAAACAATGCTTTTATGTGATTATTTATAAGCAGTCTGGTATTATTATACCGGTTACACAGTAATTCCCAAGCCTTTTAATAATTATTTTTTGCAAAATCTAATGACTTAATTATTTGTAACGCATCCCCCTTTAGTGATGATCTCAAATAGTGAAATTTATGTATTTCTGATAAACCAGTGTGACAATGTATTAGCGATTCAAAACTATCTCGATATTCTAACCAAGTATCATAAGTCATAATTAGATCTTTGTGAATATTCAATCAAATCAAATTTTTTAAAGCAGGTTTTAAAAGTTCTTGGAAACACGCTTCTTTAAAAAAAAAAAACAGAACGATTGATCAATTAGTTACGTAGTCATAGCCGTCATTTACACTAAATGTACTGGGACATCTGGGCTAATTTTTCGAAAATTGTTTATAAGTACAAAAATTCGACCAATGTTTAAACAAGCGCCAGAGCTCTCCTAACTGTCGGATTCGGATTTTTCAAAAAAAAGTTTGAAAGCTTGAGAGTCCTTCTATACGTGATTAAATTTTCAAGTATCTAAGGGCTTTGGTTTTTGCTGTGCAAAATTTTGAATATTTGCAATTTTTTTTTCAAAATCTGGATTGCAAAATTATTATGCAAAATCTATCGAACCGATTTTGATGAAATTTGGTGTGATAATTCTACATAACATGAAGTTTTTTTGAGCCAAGTATAAAGGTCCTATACCCAATTTAAATACCCCAAAAAAATCCCTAAAAAGTATTGTTTTTTAACCCCATTTTTGCGATTTTTTCGATTTTTACCATAATAATCATGATTCATTCGATTTGTAACTAG